CGTTCAGGTTGTTTGAGTTTGAGTAAATCCATATTTGCCAAACTTTCTTAATATTTTTCACCATCACGAAGTTTATATTGAAATCATATTTGTGTTCATCCGTTCCTATTCATTTTTGATGGCAATTTTTTAAAGCGAATGGAATTCAGATGCGAACATCTCATGCACCAAAGTATTGCGGATTGAAAATCTCTCAAAATATGACGATTTCGATGCCGAGGTGAGTTTCTATTATAAGTAATTCTTTGTGAATAACAAACAGTTTTTAAAATTCAAAAATTGTCAGTCGAATTCACACGATCAAAGGTCCATTCAGTATAAAAAATGGAAATGCCGAAGCGAACAAAGGCTTTATTTTTGAGACTTCATTTAATTAGACCAATTTTTTGCCGTTGTTGTTGAGTGAATAANTGATCAAATGCATATGAATGAGCAGCATTGCGCTAGTTGATATGATAGCTTTAATCAAATAGCTATATCTCCTCAATAAAGCAAAATCGCCCGACAAAATATATATTTTTCCGAATGCAGAGACCGTATCGTCATTGATGAATGCCTTCTGCAATAAAGTTCAGTTCAAATTCTGTAAGTTTTCAGTTGCTATGCATGAATCGGATATTGCTTCCAATTCTGCTGAAACCTCGACTATTGAAAAAGTTTCCACGTTTCACTGACACCGACGATGTTGCAAACGGTACAAATCACATCTTCCGTCTACAATTAGAAACGCATTATTTTTCTTATTGGGATCTCATAAAGCCAGTTCCTGAATCAAAAACACTTCCATCGCAATCGCTGGTGCTACGACCAGTCTCACATCGAATCAATAAAGATGTACGCTTGATGATTCAAATGTTTCCGTTTCATTCTCCTCATCCCAATTTTGTGATTGTTCATTTGATCGCATCGTCTTGCCTGTTCATTCAAGCTCAATTGATCGTTCAGATGATAATCCCAGTAACAATATCAATCACAATTCTCATAACAGCGTTAACTTTTCGGTTGTGTTGAACTTTTGAGTTGGACTCTTTTAAGTGTTGTTGATATTTTACTGCTTCTGATGAGAGAAATTTGAGACGAATTGGCCGCAAAATTTCAGGAGCAAATTATCTCTCTACCCGAGGCGTTAGTGTTTCTTCTTTGCAAAGAGAATGCATCCGAAATGGAGCTAGCCAAATGGTTGTTGCCGCCGAATATAATCGAGAAATGCTCATCGAAATCACCGAATTCAGCAGATTGCAATTTTGATTTTATTTTAATTCTAAATTCGCGAATAACAACCAAATGTGCGCCCAATCAACCATCGAAAATACAAAGTATACACTTGGAAATAAAGAAACGTCAGAAATATTTCGATATTTCGATCACTATTCGAGATGAAGCGTTCAGAAATGAATTCATCAGTCATCTTCAAACGAAAATTTTGGTGAGTTTAACAGTTCATATTTATTTTAGTTTATTATTTCATTATGAGTTTCAGTCTTAAATTACATAACTGGAAAATTTTGACTAAAAGTGAACCAGTTTATCAAAGTAATGAGTCAATGCGTTCTCATTGACGCACAGAATCAAAAACATCGAAAAGAAATGCGCCGGCCGGGAATCGAACCCGGGCCGCCCGCGTGGCAGGCGAGCATTCTACCACTGAACACCGGCCTTGAAGATACGTTAAGCTTCCCGAGTGATAATCTCATCCTAATTTTACTTGAAGTATGAAAAATTTCAGGTAAAAATGCGTTATATTTATAGAGAGCTGGAAAGTAAGAGTGGATGTGAAGAAATAACGGATGAATCGTCATCAATTTCGAGTCTTTTCTATTCTTCGATCAGTCGCTTCATTTCGTGATTTCGCAGTGACTATGCTTTGTTATTGATAAGTATCACGTTTACTTTCAAGTGAAATTTGTCATTTTGAGTGGATATTCTGAGAGTCATAATACCGGTCTCATTAATTGCGAAGAACCATTTTACGGGTGGATTTAGTGCAAAACTAAGAACATTCCTACATATTCACTTGTTATCTTTTGATAATGCCATTTATTTATGTTTAATACATTTATGAATGTTTTTAATTTTTATCGCTCACTCACAATTACGGCTCGGATACGTCTCTAAAGTCCTTAAATGTCTTTAAATGCCTTAAATCGATCAAACTGTATTTTATACCAAATTTTATCTCATTTTTTCATTAAAAATTTCATTAAAATATGTTTTTGACATTGTTTCTGAACTGATGATTATAAAACATCGAGTGGAACTGAGAGATACCGATGAACCAAAAAAAAAGTGATCATTTGAAGTGGGCGAATTCATTGTCCACAGAAAAAAAAAA